CCGCAGTCACAGTGAACGCGGCCATATAGCACACACAACCCGCCAGCATCGCGCCCACCACGCGCAGAACCTTGCAAATCAAATTTTGAAAAGCTAACGTCATTGCTGCAGGCCTTAATTTATTCAGAGTGAATTTTTCAAATAAAATTATTTCAAATTTATGTAACTCAGTTCACCTTTATCATAAGTAATGCATGAATTAACAAGAAAATGTACCTCGGCATCTCTCGGAGTCCACCGATGCGCCTTCCTGGTACGGAATTCAGCAAGTAGCACCCACAAGCGTAATACCACTGATCCGTAGCACGCTACGAACCCGAGCTCACGAAGCCACGCGCCTACAATGCAGCGCCATTTTGCGTCCTCTATGAACTGTGATGCCGCCTGACAAAATTTGTAATATCACATTTAGACCGGGCGCACACCTTTGGCTTAACTATCGCAAAACTGTTTTGTTATTTTCGATTGAATCTCAGCGAATTCACTGTTTAGTTGTACAACTAAAAATGGAGTAATCTGCGCAACTCCATATAAGCTCATAGGAATTGTAGCGCGACTAAACAGTTGTGCGATAGTTTAGTTTAAGGTGTACTTAAGTAAAGTTAAGTGAAGTAAGTAGGATTTTTTATATGTATGTTATGTAATTGTTACAAACACACACTCGTGACGCACGCTAAATTCGCGTTATAAAAACAAGTACAGGCACTCGAGATAACATCAAGTGGTTGTACTTTACTTTAGTAGATTTCTGCAGACATTGACAAACGATATCTATATGTATATTTGACTCCGGCTCCCCTTAGGCGGCCCCCTGAAAGCGCTTACTTTTTCTTTTTTTATAAAAAAGTACAAAAAAATATTCATGATATAAGTTCGGACCAAATAGGTATGCTGTGTTATAATAATAATAGTAATTAGTTCCTTGTTTTGTGTTATTTAAGCCAAATTATTAAATAATTATTTGTTAGTTTTCTTTTTGATCTCTCCCTTTTAGCATATGTCCCCAGTGTATAGTAACTGTAATCAAATTGTACTTACAGAAGCGTACATCAGCATGGCTCCGACCAGAATAACCTCTAGCACTGTCCACATGCCCATTGCAACCGCCTGTAAATTGTTTTTCAATGTAGTTATTAATTTTTATATTCGTATCTTACAACAAATACAAATTGGTAATCTCCTTTAGTTACATTTAGTTTTACCTGTCGTTCTTTACCAATATTGAATGTTGGTTTTTATTAAGATTGATTGCTGACAGGCGCTTTTAATTAAAGCTTTTATATCATAGTCAGACAGTAGGTGGGAATACTTACTTTACATTTCCGTTTTTTAAAAATGACTATCCCTATAAGGAAGCAAAGGAGCATTCCGGCGAGATTGGCAGGCAAAAGGGCGGCACGGTGCGCCTGCGCCTCGCATCCCGCGTCC